GGCACTGGACTGGGCCTCTGTAGGCTGGCATCCCAGGGGACTCTCCTGAGGCTGAGGGGACCCTCCTTCCTAGCACAGTGCTGAGCTCCCTCTGGACCTCCAGGAGGCTGGGCTCCTCCTGCACCTGCACCTGCCGCTCTCTGTGACCTCCACGCACAGAACTCTCTGCTTCACTTCTACCAGGGCCACCTTCCAGGCAGAAATGCTGCACTCTCTGGACCCAAATAAGGAAGAGGGACTTGAAACCACAAAACCGTTGTCAACACTTTTTTTCAAGCACTTGATAATTTAATGCCACTTTTTCCCTCAAATTTTGTAAGAACAAATAGTATGATTTCTATCTTAGAAATAATTTGGGTTAGATCATCGCACAAAGGTGTTATTTCCTGAAGCCTTTTTTAAAAAATATTTTATTTTAGTTGTGGATGGACACAATACCATTATTTTATTTTTATGTGGTGTTGAGGATCAAACCCAGGGCCTCTCACATGCTAGACGAGCACTCTACCGCCGAGCCACAACTCCAGCCTTCCTTAGGCTTTTTATATATGTATGTATGCCAAACATTACATGTTTATTTTCATTTTTATTCAATTTTTTTGTTATCTGTTTTAAAGGCAAAATCTCAAAAAGTATAATATGCTTCACAAAATAAGAGATCCATTTTATTTTAAATCATATAGATTTCTTTAAGATGTGAATAGGTCCTAAAAATAAATATCATAGATTTGTAATTACATGACATTTAATAAATGTTTAGTTTCTATCACATAATTACTGGTTAAAAGAAAAACCCTTAGACAAGTTTAATTTATCTGAGTTTATTTAAGCAACAAAAAAGTTTAAAAAAAAATTTACTTGTTGGCCTCAGGATCAGAAGAGGATCAGAGAACTTGGGTCACAATGTGGCATGAAAGGTGACACAATAAGAGTATGTGCTGTCACCCGAGTTTCCCTCTGAGTTTGGTCCCTTGTGTGGGCACTTGTCTGTGGCCTTTGTGCTAGGACAGACGGGAGGGATTTTCCTTGTTCTGTTGAGCCACTTGCAGAACTGGCATATGACCAGCCCCACTGCTCCATCTGGTCCTGGTATGCAGGGGACAAGGCCCTCCCACTCTAGCACAAGAGGGGTGTGTGCAAGCCAGTCACCCAGTGGCTGCCTGGAGAGACCTGCCAGTCAGGGGCACTGGCACCTCCTGTGGCTGCTGTTTCTTCCCCACTGAGTGAAGGGGAAGGGCTGGATGCACTGTGCTCTCCATGCGCCTGAAACCCAGATGCCCTGGGCGGGAGGGCTCAGGCTCCTGCTTCTGCAACAGGCCAGCAATGCCACTTGTCCAGCACAAACTGTTCCTAAACAATGCATTCACCTTTGGAACAAGTTAAGCCTGTGGAAAATGTAACATTAACGACACCATCTGGATCACTTTTAAATCAACTGAAATGAAAACTGAAGGTTTCTCTTTTGTCGACATGTTTCCTTTATGAAAGCTCTCATTGCTTATGCACATAAACATTCTTAAGTGTTTTCACGTTATCTTTAAGTCCTAATTGTATTGCATTTCCTTCTAGACCAAACAAAAATGTACCTAATGCTTTATATGTGAAAAATTTATCCCTCAATTATTAACAATGATACATAGAAATACACATGGGCAAGGGCAAGTTCAAAGAATTCTAATTTAAAGACTCCTTCTTGTCCAAGTCCCAAGTCTTCTCGTGGACTTTTTCTTTCTTTCTTTTCTTTTTCTTTTTTTCCTTTTGGTACCAGATATTGAGCCCAGGGGTGCTTAACCACTGTGCCACATCCCCAGCCCTTTTCATTTTTTGAGACTGGGTCTTGCTAAGTAGGTGACACTGGCTTTGACTATGTGATCCTCCCGCCTTGGCCTTCTAAGCTGCTGGGATTACAGGTGTGTGCCACCATGCCCAGCACCTCTTAAGTTTTCTTGCATTGTTTCACACATAAGCTTTTGGGAAACAACTCTTATATAACCATACAGGATCTTATCTCTTATCTTATCCTGTATGGTTTAGATAAGACTTGTTTTTTATTTTTTTTTTCAATATCTTTATTTTTTTTAATTTTTTTCCAATGTGGTGCTGAGGACCATACCCAGCACCTCACACATGCTAGGTGGCATTCTACCACTGAGCCACAACCCCAGCCCCATAGAACTTTTAATCAGTTGGCTGGTAAAAGCTAAGCTAAAGATTTAGTTCATGTGCTAAGCAGTTTCCAAAATGGCTCCCCTTGACCCCTGTTTTCATGGTATCTGTGCCTATTTTGGACTATTTTTGCTCTATAACAAAATACAACAGACGGGGTTATTTATTTATTCTTAATATTGGAGGTTAAACCCAGTGCACTCTACCAGTACATTCCAGCACACACACCCCCTTTTTTAGTTGTTGATGGACCTTTGTTTTATTCATTTGTATACAGTGCTGAAAATTGAACCCAGTGCCTCACACATGCTAGGCCAGCACACTGAGCCACAGCCCCACCCAACCCCAGCCCCTGTTAGTTTAAATTTTGAAGCGGGATTTTACTAAATTGCCCCGGATAGCCTTGAACTTGCCTCAGCCTCTTGAGTAGCTGGGATGATAGGCATGTGCCACTGTGCCACACAGGTGCGGTAATTTATGAGGAACAGACTTTTTTTATATAATTATGAAATTTATTTATATTTCACCTTTTAAAATTTCACTTTCTGGAAAGTCCTCTTATTAGAAATACATAAAGTGCACTTAACATAAGGAAATTAGTTTCTTGGTTCCTCCAGTGAGATGTACGTGCTCTTCCAATCCTCTCCAAGGAAGGTTTTCTCAAACTTCCCTCCAGGCTTTTCCTCTCAATTCAGGGAGGTCTGAGTGAACTTTTCTCAGAAACTACAGTGAAGAAGCTGATTTTAACAGGTATGTCCTCCCAAGAAACAACATTGCCCCAAATAGACCCTGTCTGGTGGTTATAGGCAACTGCAGTTAGCTCTTCCATGGTGGGTGGGAAGAGCTCACAGCAGTAGGGTACAGGTCCAAAGCCACTTGCAACCTTGGCCACCAACCAGGAAAAAACTGCCATATTCAAACTAGAGATGTGTGACATGAAAGAATGAACCAAATCTATAAGCCCTTGGTCCATCAGAGATTCTGCTCCTATACATTAGGCTGGCAGCTCTTAGCCTTGGAAGTAATATTCATGAAATATGTTCACGATTCTTGAACTGCTCCTGAACTGCGTTCTCAGTACACAGCTCATCAGAGGGCGTGCTGTGCCTTGCAGACAGTGTGCTTGTTGGAAGAGACAACAGGGCACACCACAGCCTCTCTAGGAGTTGAAAGCCAGGGTTTTAAAACAGCAGTTTGGATGTTGAAACAAGTGTCATAAAGAAACTATTGGTCACAGTAAAATAATGCTGGTTAATTTAAGTTACCAAATAAAAGATAAAAGAACTAGTAGCCTTCAGAGCCCCCACCTTCTCCTTTTCAATCATTTGAGGACTCCTTTTCATGCTTCAGGACAAGAATGTATGCAAGCTCCCAGAGAGAAAGGTAAATGTGACCCAGTCATCTGAAAATACATTGTTAGCTTGAAAACCGGAACCAAAAAGCTTTGACCCTCCCACTATTTTAGCTGACCCTCTCCCCCACTTACAGAAAAATACTGTTTAATTTTCCCCCACTAGAAATACATGGTTATCCTTTATCCTAAAAAGACACCATGCAGGCATTTAAGACTGAACCAGCCAATTCTAAGGGTTGCAGGAGTATAGCAAAGTATCACCAATAAAACTTCCAGCATCAAATCATGCAAAACCCACAATGTTCACCCCAAGAGGGTTCCTGAAATGTTTCCCAGGTGCACATTGCAGCTTCCAGCAGCCACTGCCCACCGCATGGACAAGCAGCTCCACTGCAGAGGATTTTCAGCTCTGGTCGGCTGCACTGTCACCGGAGTTCATACACCTCAGGACAAGGAAAAGCAACGCTCATTTCATTGTTATGTGTGACCCAGAAAAGGTCCTGGGGAGGATCTGAGATGAAAACTGGATGGGAGGAACAGTATGAAACAAGAACACGTGCAGATGAGGAAAATGAGTTTTCCTCCAGGAGAGGCGCTGGAAGCTCCAGGAAGTAAATGAGGACCAATGTGACTAAACCAGGTGACAAAACAAAGTTAACAGTGGGGAAGATAGCTTTGGTGAGAGCCCAGCAGAACAGAGGGCACTGACTTGGGGACCCATTTCCCATCACAGGTGACCTGTCCCAATGCCCTGGCTCGCTTCCAGGTCTGTTGCACGGTGCTGGTGTGGGAGGCAGAGGGCTCATGCTCCACAGATGGAAGAACAAGGCAAAGGCAGCGACTCCGCTCACGGATGGTGATGGAGCTGCAGCAATTGAGCATCTCAAGCTCGTCACTCGATTGGTGTGATCGAATATTCGCTTGCATTTAAAGACAACCTGCCTCCGAATAATGATTGATAGCGCCACTACAAACAGGAAGGCAGACATTCTTAGGCAGCCTTGGCAAGAAGGCTCTGTGCTCTCAATCTGCCTCTGGCGCTGCACAGCTTGGGGCCCCAGGTACCAGAGCACTGCAGCACACCCCTAAGACAGGTTTCTTGGGCTTCGGACATTCCTCTAGGCATGCAGAGAAATGAGTGTCCACAGGACACCTGCATGGGCTTCTCACACACCCCTAGGGCCCTGTGCCGGTGTGACGTCCTGATGGGGCTGCTGCTGCTGGCCGTGCTACCGCCCAGGGCGAGCAAGGAGCCCAAAGGGGAACAGATGTTTCTTGCTCAGGGTTTTGGAGCTGGGAGGTCCCACATGGAGGCACCAGTATTTGGCTTGGTGAGAGCCCTAGCTGTGTGCACTTCAGGAAGGTGGGTCCTCAGGGCCTGCTCAGCTCTCCCAGGCCCCACAGTGACAACACCTGAGATTTTGGATGGGCTACATTCATACCATAGCAATAACTGTAAGAAGAAAATTTAGCAAACAACTTAGTTGCCAACCAATTTTATTTTTTACATATTTGAAGAAGTGATTAAAAAGACAATGCTAATCTGCTTTTTTAGTCACACAATAATAATGGTTTGTTTGCCAGATTCATTTGGATGTGGGGCCAACTGCAATAAACTTCAATAAAATTCTAAGTCTGTGGAACCCACTTAAAAAAAGCAGTTGGAATTAACACTGCTCTTACATTCTTGGCTCAAGGAAGCTCTCATGTTTTGTTTCTTTGTATGGCAAATATAACAATATTGGTAGAAACACAACTTTTCACACAGACACCAAGAGACCAATCTGTGTAGACAAACTAAAAATTGAAAATGAATCCATTCAGATCTTACATTATTGAATCATATAACAAATGGGACAGAAAAGAACAGTATTAAAGAGCGGTCTTCTTCATCATTTTCAAAAATTCCTCCTCATTTATTTCTCCATCCCCATCATAATCAGCTTCATCAAGCATTTCCTATAAAACAAAACAAAAAATTATATATAAAATCTACTAAAATGAATGACAGAAATGAATGTTCAATTACATGCTCGAAATCAAATTTTACTTTTAATGTACAACTAAAGTTAGAATATAACACTTTATACAAAAGTTGTAATTACACATAAATTATAAAAACAAGCAAGATTTACCTGCAGTTCATCATCTGTTAAATTCTCCCCGAGCTCCTTGGCGGCTCTCCTGATATTACTTAGTGTTATCCTCCCAGTATCATCATCATCAAATAATTTGAAAGCCTTCAATATTTCTTCTTTTTCATCTTTCTCAGCCTTTAAAAATATGAAATAACTGGCACTTGTCTTTGATTACACTGCTAGAATAAATAAATATTCTAAAAACAGATCTTCTCAGGTCTCTGAACACTAGCGCTCCAGTGTACTGGGCAGCTGAGCCGAGCTGACTGCTGCAGTGTTAACCACCCAATGCCCTCACACTTGTCCTCAAGGAACTGAGGTGCAGAACACAGTGAGGCAGGAAAATGCACCCTATACTGGCCCTTATCACTCAGGTCCATTCCAAAGACATAGGCTCGGCAGAGCTCCTTCAAGGCTCTGCAGAACAAGGCCTGCAAATACAGGCCCTCAACATGCTTGCCAAGTGCAAGTTTTTAAATTCTAGCTCCATTCTGTCCATCCTGACATATGTCCTCGTTATTTCCTGACAAACCCCATTCTCCATAACAGTCTCCATTACCAAACTGAGAATGTTTTAATCTTTCAGTTTCTGTCTATCTGCGTCCCACCCAATCTGAAACGTCTAGACTCAAATTCTTCTATGAAACCTGTTTCAGCCCTCCCTGAAATTTGGAAAGCTACTGATTGTGCTTCTCTGAAAAAAACAAAATCATGACTATACCATTTTTACACTTATAATGGCAAAAAAATTTTCAAAACTAATGGTGCCAATTCCTTCTTTGTCCATTTCAGCTATCATTTGTTTAACTTCTTCTTTCTTTGGTTCAAATCCTAAGGCCCGCAATGCAATCTAGAATAGGAAGAAAAAATTTTTAATATGCCAAGATATCATTCTGATTAAATATTCATTAATCAACAGCTTCTATTTTTTAGATGTCGATGGACCTTTATTCATTTATTTGTATGCTGTGCTGAGTCTCAGACCCAGTGCCTCTCACAGGCTAGACAAGCCCTCTACCACTGAGCCACAACTCCAGCCCAGGCTTCTCTTTTTTAACAGGGACTGAGCATTAACCTAGAAATGAGGTCAGCAGTCCCAGGTTCTAACCCAGCTGTGCTAGAGTGTACTGTACACCCTAGGCTTGGCTTGCTCATGTATAGAACATGATTTAAATGTTAACAAGATATTGTTTGTCAACACTCTCAAGCTTCCCAAAGACTACCGTTAAAAGTCTGACTATTCCCACAAACATGGCATTTGAAGTGTGTTAGAATTGGAAATTATTTCAGGACCTTCAATTCTTTCACGTCTATGGTCCCAGAGCCATCAGCATCGAATAAGTCAAAGGCCTCTTTAATTTCTTGCTTTTGCATTTCATTCAATTCAATTTTTGCTGCTCTTTTCTCTGAACTTGTGTGTTGGTCAGTCGCCTGTAATAAATACACACGTGGGTGAAAGACAAACTACATGCCTAGAATAACGGAAGCAGGGTTGAATCTGATAAATGAACTTATTGAAGGACCCAATTTCCTGCTATTATAAAGTTGCCCCTTCGCTAAATTTGTGCTTTGGGTTATTAAGAACTTGGTGGAAAGCCTGGTTCTTTTTTTATCACTTAGATTTTTTTCCTTAAAATTAGTGCCTTTTGAGAGGGGAAGGAGCAAAGGAGAGATGGTGGATCCGGCAGTGGCGGTGGTACGACTCTCCCCCGAGGGGTATCCCAGGGGCACTGGCCGAGGAGGAGGAGTGACCTTCACCTAGGCCCGTCTGCTAGCACGGGGCGGGGGGCCGGCCCCCGGAACAAGAGCCGCTCGCGTCTCCTCCCCCTGCTGCCTTGCACGGCGGCGGAGGGGCCAACGGCCACGCGGTCCGGGCCAAATGCTACCGCAGAGGCCGGACGGCGACCGCGGGCCAACTGGCAGGGTCCCCCCCGGCGAGGTGCGGTTTTCTGCCGGCGAGCGGGGCCTCGGATAGCCTCGGCCGGCGGCCGCGCCGGGGCCCTAGCCTCCAGCTCTGAACCCAGGAGCCCTGGGCCCGCACGGTTCGGAAGCCTCGGGCCTCACGTAGCTGCAGCCGCCGAGCGGGCCTCACGGCTCCCGCGGCCGCTCACGCCCTCGCCTCTAGCGGCGGCGGCCGAGGGAGGGATTGCGGGCCGCCCAGAGCGAGCCACAGGAAGGACGCCTCGGCGACTGCTGCGGAGCACCGAGGGAAGCAGAGGCTCCACCTCCCAGGCCCTAGCTCCCCTCCTTCCCGGGACCCACTCACCATGTCGCCCCGCCCTCCGCCCCGCCCACGACCCCGCCCGCACCACGCCCGCGTTGCTAGGGCCGCCTTCGCCCCGCGAGCCCCGCCCACCGGGCTGCGTCCTGATGGACGGACACTCCATCCAATGGACGGAAAGGGAGCCCTCAAGTCCCCCCTCCTCCTGATTCTCCACCAATAACGTGGCGTTCCCCGCCTTCTCCGCCGTGAAACGGAAATTCCCGGGCGCGCAGGGGGCGGGGGCGTTTCCGGCTGTGGCTGCCGGCGTGAATCGCAGGTCTGTGGGGCTCTCCGGGTCCGGCGCGGGGAGAACCTGCGCCTTCCCAGGCCGCTGGCCGCGAGAGAGGACGACGGTGGCCCGCGCCCAGCAGGGCCTCTGCGGCCCCGGCGGAGAACCAGCTGAGGCCCGGGCGAGGGTGCGGTTTAGGCACCGCAGGTCGCCCAGCTGGAGCCGAGTGCGGGCCTTCTGAGACCTAGGGAGGAACGGGGTCCGGCGGGCCTCAGCCTGACCCGGCTTCGGGCGTGATCTGACGGTAACGAGAAGGCTGAACAGCAGGTGACCTGTTTTTGCATCACTCTGGAGTTAAAATGTTTTGTTTTTTTAAATGGTAGGGCTCAGATTGCAGGTCTAGGTCTTGATTAGAATGCACATCAGTCTTGAAAAAGGGCTGCCACTAATCCGGTTGCACTATGGACATTCCTAGTGATAACTAGATTTCTTATATCTACCAGATTTATTATATCTTATACATCTACCAGATTTATTGCTTTACGTGTCAGCCTGTCAGCTACTGAGTTTGAAAGGAATTGCATGTAGAGTGTAAAAGATGAATAAAACCAAGGGTCCCCAGATTAGTGGTTGAGATAGACAAGACAAACACAGGGGCTGTGCTTGGGAGCACAGAAAGGAGGGACTCCTCCTCCAGCACTGGAGAAAGCTGTATCCAAAATGTGGCATTTGCCTTGGGTCACAAAAGCCATAGAGCATTCAAGGAGATATAAAGAGGATAGGCTGTTGAAATCAAAGTGTAGTATGTACAAAGTAAGGTACGTGGTGTGCTTTAAGGAAGGGTGGGAGATGGGTCTTAAAAAGTCTGATGTAGACTTTATTTTCCAAGGTAAATAGTTCTTAGCAGTGGAATACCTAATTCTGTTTTTAGTGTTTCAGGATGATTCTGAAGCCTCTTTAAAAGAAATTAAAGGGTTCCACCTAAGATAGTGCCAAATAGGAATCAGTCAACTCCAAAGGTAGTTGAAAGTTATATTCATGTTGGAGGAATATTAAACAGTGGTATCTGTTTTCTCTTGTTTCAGGTGTGTACTCAAATTTGGGATAACAGATGTGAAAATCATTTACCAAATAATTTTTGAGTGTCTGCAGTAAAGTATACAACAATGCTGTAGGTACTTGAGATACTTCCATGACTAAATTGCTCTTCTGGAAATTATATTCTAACAGGGTTCATAAATGATAAGTAAATTGTATGCTACTAAGAGTATCCAGGGTGTAGAGGGAGAAGAGTTTGTGTTATTAATAGGATGCTCAGAGTGAGCTGTACTGAAAAGGAAATTTGAGAAAATATTTAAAGGTGGTGAAACAGTAGAGTTCTTGGAGAAGGAGTATTCCAGAAAGGGAGAACAACTAGAACAGAAACCCTAAGGTAGAGAGCAGGCTTTGCATGTTCCAGGAACAGGATGGAGGCCAGAGCAGAGTGAGGTGGAGTCAGAAGGGAAAGGAAGAAGTGCATGTTCCTGGGGCTTGTGAGCACTAGGACTCTCGCATCAGTGAACTGGGGAGGCTTTGCAAGATTCCCACCATCAGTGAAGGGAGTCCTATGTCAGACAAAGGTCAACGACTTTCTGAGAGGCTTTTAAACAGTGGGTTGATAGGATTAGACTCTGTGTTGGGAATAGACTAGAGATGAGGAAACTGGATTTTGATGATGAAAGGCTGATTGTCCCCAGGCTGCTCCTGAGATACGCATCTTAGTGTTGAGGTGAGTACCTCGAACAAAACTAGATGTGACCTTGTGAAAAGAAAATGCCTTCTGATTTCAAAATCCTGGATAAACAGAGGCGACTGCTGGTCTGTCACTCAGGGAGGAGGAAGGAAGGTGCCAGAGGTCCTGTCCCCCATCACCTCCACTGTCTTTGCCTTTGTAGGCCCAGCCTCTTAGAAGGTGAGGAATTCTTGTTTTCAATCTCTTTTTTGTGTTTATGGTAGGCCCTTGCAGCTTCTTTAAAGTAATAATTAATAAGGTCATCCAAAGTTAGAAACCTTAGACTGATTTGTTTTTGTTTTTAGATTACTACTCAAAATTGGAGTAGGTTCTTCAAGATGCTGAAACAGGTCTTTTGTAAATATTTATTTTCATAGCAGTTGTATGTGATATTTTGCATGTAGACTAGTTTTTTTTTTTAATTGTATGCCTTCTTTGGGAAGGTTTTTTTCATATAAATTCCATACCAACTAAGTTTGGAATAGCTCATGAGTTTTTCCATTTGTGCATTAATACCCTTGTGGTTCAGACAGTACAGAAAGGAGACCGTAAGCAGACATCTTAAAAAGACATGGGCCTATGCCTGATAAGAGTGTTAACAAGGCTTGGAAGAAGGCAGAGGCCTGAGGAATGGAGACCGTGGGTAGAGAATGCAGCCCGAGGGCAGCATCGTGAGGCAATTGGTAGCTTGAACAAACCTGGGTTCTAGTCCATAGCCCTTTACTTACTAGTCATAAGGTCGTGTGTGTTGATTATCACGCCTCCTTTCCGCATCACCAGGAGGCTGATGGCAGTACCACCTCACACTGCTACTGTGAGGGCCACGTGACAAGTGCCTCACACCCAGTGAACTCTCAACATGTGTTAGAAATGAAAAGCAAAACAAAAAAACAAAACAGTCTGTTTAAGCTATTCCTTTCAACAGATTATTTTGAAGCACCTGGATATTCATGAGAAAAAAGGAGCTAATGTTTCCAGTAATTTACAAAAATCAGTTTAAGATGAATTATAAACATAAATGTAAAGAAAAAGTTTGCAGCCCGGTTCCTGACATCAAAATGTACTGCAAATCTGTGTTGTCACAAAAGTATGGTGCTGGCACCAAGTGAACACAGGGGCAGTGGAATTGATTGAGAAACCAAAAATAAACCCATGTACCTATGGCCAGTTGGTATTTGACAAAGATGCAAAGGCCACTCAGTTGAGAGAAGACTCTCTTCAACCAATGGTGCTGAACAGTTGGATATCTACATGCAAAACATGAAGTTGGGCTGGGCTTGGTGGTACATGCTTGTAATCCTGGCAGCTTGGGAGGCAGAAGCAGGGGGATCACGAATTCAAAGGCACCTTCAGCAAAAGCAAGGCACTAAGCAACTCAGTGAGACCCTGCCTCTAAATAAAATGCAGACTAGGGCTGGGGAGGTAGTTCAGTGGTCAAGTGCCCCTAAGCTCAATCCCCAGTACCACACAAAAAACAAAATTGGACCTCTGCTTATACCATATACAAAAATTAACCCAAAATTTATAAAACTCTTTATAAAGATGATGTTTGGTTAAATATGAATGATCTTGGATGTAGCAGTGGATAGATATGGCACCAAGAACATGAGCAACAGAAACAAAAAAAGTGGACTGCATCAAAACTAAAAACTTGTGCATGTCCTCCACAATGTAGAAATCACTACATTTGTTTTCCGCAGGCGGGAGTGTATTTGCAAATTGTATACAGTGGTCTTTCACGTCCTTGGTTGACTGGTTCCAGGACTCCCCTGTGAATACCCAAGTCCACAGGTGTGCCAGTTACTTTTACATCTTCCCATATACTTTAAGTCTCCTCTGGGATTACTTATTATTTCCTAATAAAATGTAAATGCCACATGAACAGTTGTTATGAGGCATTTTGAAGGAAAGTGACAAGAACTTGTCAGCTGCAGGTGCAGGGTTTTTTCCCACGTTTTTGTGTCCACAGTTGGATCCCTGCGTGCAGAACCCTGATTGGCACTTGCTGTTGTTCGATAAGGGTCTAGTACCCAGCGTGCACTTGCAGCTCAACACAAGAAAATCAGCAGCGCTTCTTAAATGGCTGAAATACTTGAAAAAACATTTCTCCATTAAGATTTACAAGTGGAAGCTGGATGCAGTGCTGCGCTCCTGGAAATTCCACTGCTCTCAGGAAGCTGAGGCTGGAGGATGGCAAGTTCAAGGCCAGCATGGGCAACTTAATGAGATCCTGTCTCAAGGTAAAGACTAAAAAGAACTGGGAGAAATGCTCCGTGGTAGAGTGCCCCTGTTTTCAATCCTCAGTACAAATGCCAACAAGCACATGAAAAGATGCCCAGGAAAGTGCAAGTCAGAAGCACAGTGAGATCACTCCACATCACTGGGATGTCTTTAATTTTACAAAAAAAAAAAAAAGTATTGTTGAGTGTCCTGTTGATTGAACAATACACACACACACACTTCATGTCCTTCCAGAATTTCAGAATGTGGTGTTTTTTGAAATGAGGGAGATCACTGAAGCTGAGGTTATACTGGATTAGGGTGGGCCCTAGGTCCACCAGCTGGTTCACAATTATAGAAAGGCCATTTGAAACAGAGATTAAGTTACCAGGAGTAACTAGAAGCTGGAAGAGGCAAGGAAAGAATCTTCCCTGGGGGGTGAGAGACTCACTGCCCTGCCAGTGCCTGGATTTTGGATTCTAGTCTCCAGAACCATAAGAGCAGGGGTGTGTAGTTTTGAACCTCCGGTACTCTGATGTCTGGTAGGGCAGCCTGGGAAACCAATACCCTGTGCGTGGCTGGTGTGAGTGTTCTGCTGTGGAAAACACTGTGGTGGTTCCTTAAAGAAAGTACCACCAGGTTCCCTCCTAGGGTAAAGAATTGGAAACAGTTGTTCAGTCCATAGCAGCACAATTCACAATGGCCAGCAGATGGAAGGAACTCAAATGTGCATCCAAGGAAAAGAGGAAATGCTAAGTGCGATTGCCCGCAAGAGGGTCACTCCGCCATGAAAGAGGAATGAAGCCTTGGTCCATACTGCAGTGTGGATGAGCCTCAGAAACAGGCCAAGTGAGAATCGGTGTTTTATGATGCCATTTATGTAAGGTATCAAGAATGATAGTGCTGAAAGACTGAAAGCAGAGTGGTGACTGCCAGGTCCGGGAGGGAATGGGGCAGAGACTGCTTCATAGCTCTAGGGCTTCTTTAGGGATGATGAAACTAATAGTTGTACAGCATTGCAAATGTACTGAACGCCACTTTAAATGCCAGTGGTACAATTTAAAATGGTTCAGTTTATGTTAAATGAATTTCAGATCAATTTAAAACCATAAAGCTTTCAGAAGAAATACAAAAAAAATGTTTTCTTCTGAGAGTTAGAAAAGAAAACCTTTCTTAAATAGATAAGAGAAAGTAATAATTATTAAAAGAAGAAAAGATAAGTGGACAAGGGAAATATATTGTGAAGCGGTTTTAAGGCCACTTGGGGTTTGGGACCATGAACCTCAAATGACACCAGTGAACGTGGTTGTGTGTGTGTTTCAGCTGCACTGGGCCAAGCACGGAGTGGCTGGGGCTGGACTTCATCCAGATGAGCTGAATTTAAGGATATTTGTACAAGGGAGCAACTGTAACAATTGACAAGTAGAATTCAAAACAGGCAAGTAGAGAGTTGATGTTACGGAGTAGGAGGTAAAAGGCGGATGTGGTGCGGCAAAACCTCACCACACTGTGGGTCAGAGAACAAGAGTCTCGGGAGGGTTGAGGCTGGAGCCATCAACCTCAACCTGGGGCTGCTCTGACGTATTATGGTGCTATCTAGGAATATTGCTGACCATATCATAAATTTTTGTTATATAGAACTGAAAATTCACAGAAGAAGCCTTGAAACTGAACGCAGAGAGTCGGTCAGGCTGTTCCAGCTTCCCTCCGAGTCCTGGGACGCCGCCAGCTGCTTCTGGGCTCAGCGCCTGCTGCCCTGGAGCCCCTCTCAGGGCACTCTCCAGGGGTGGGGCAGTGCCGGGGCCAGGTGGGGTGCAGAGACAGCGTGGGAGGAAAAGCAAAAGTCTGAGTTGTTTGCTTTTCAGTGTTTGAGATTTAAAAGATTGTGATTAAGAAGTATTATTCAAAAAAATCATGGATTCTTAGAGCAAAGGGCAAGTTCGTATTTTCTCTGATCTTGGCTTCCCTGCCGAGGCGCCAGGGATCATGCCTCCCAAGGCAGCAGTTTTATAGATGGCTTTTCAGTTAGGGGGCACTCCAGGAGTTCTATTTTATAGAACTAAAGTCCTTCCCTTGTAACTTCCTATTAATTTTGGGTGCAGATTCCAAAGTATTATGTGGAGTTAGTTGCTTGTTTGTGTGTGTGTGTGTGTGTGTGTGTGCGCGCGCGCGCGCGCGCGCTTGCACTTGCATGCATGCTATGGATTAAACCCAGGGACACCTAATCACTGAGCCACATCCCCAGCTCTTTTTAATATTTTAAATAGAGATGGTCTTGCTATGTTGCTTAGAACCTAATTAAATTGCTGCGGCTGGCAATCCTCCTGCCTCAGCCTCCTGAGCTTGCTCTTGAGCCTCCATTTAAATAGCATTTATTTTCCTTTATAATGTAATCTTTGATCAAATCCATATCCTCCCTCCATCTCTCTTCCACATTTCTCACCAAGGTACTTACAGAAAATTCTTAATTGGCCTCTCCACCTCCTCTCTACACGCAGCCAGTCAGTCCTCTGAATCTGTTACCACAGTGCTAACATGTCCGGAACATCCCTGTCAGGGCTCCTTGAACAGGACTCCAGACCTCTGGAGCATTGTACTGTCTTAATGACCCCACAAAGTGGATGCTGTGATTAGCTCCATTTTCAGATATGCAGACTGAGGGCCAGAGAAGTTAAATGTTTAAGTTGCTGAAGGCCATTCAGCTAGTAAGCAGTGAGCTGAGTTCAAGCCCAGAGATCTAGACACACATATACAGGCTTTCAGGAGAAGGCCAGTGGTACACACCTGTAATCCCAAGGACTCGGAGACTGAAGCAGGATCACAAGTTTATGGCCAGCCTAGGCAACCTAGCCAGACCCTGACTCAGGAAAGTAAAATAAGTAGTAGTACAAACTTTCAAACACTATGTCTACTTGTTTCTTTCTGTTGGGATACTGGGGATTAAACCAGTATCCCAACAGAAAGATTGGGTTCATGCTTGTTATCAACCTGTACTGCTGAGCCACACTGAGCTGGGAGCTCTCTTCAGTGGCCTCCACTGCAGGAGAAAGGCTAGGCTTCTCGGCATAGTATGTTATGCCCTTCTTGATCCAGGTTCTGTCCTCTGCAGGAGGCTGGTCTCCTGTGGTCCCCCTGTACTCGGTTTTCGCCCACAGCACCATGGCTCATGATAACCAGTCTTACCCCAGCACCACAGGTTGGTCTGTGTGTGTATTCTACTGCCACCTCCCACCTCCTTCATCCTCCACCTAGCTGACTCGCTCAGGTTGTCCTTCAAGGCTTGCTCTGGGGATTGCTGCCTTCTGCACACAGCGTGTGTTGCGTCTTGAATGGTGTGGCCACCGCCATGTCTTTGTACCTTTGTCATTAGTATTTTACTGCACATTGCACTGACCACATTTAATGGAAACCATGTGTACTTCAAAGGCAGGGACCATATCTTATTTTTCTTTTCTGTATTCATTCATAATGATGAATCACACTGAATAAGTTTCCAAGTTTTTATTTTATTTGCAGATGTTGGCTTGTGATGGCCTGCAGGGTAATAAACAAAAGACAACATGTGGGACTTCAACAACTGTCCTTATTTGCAGAAACAGGAAGAACGTTCCTGGGCCCAGTGAAATCATCCAAATTTGTTACAGGTGGGGACTGTCATGAAAGTGTGTTGATCAGCTCAACAGTAAGACTCCTTGAAAGCTTGGATTTGACCAGCACAGTGGGGCAGCTTCTCTATGAGGCAGTTCAAGCACAAAACAACACCTATAGGACTGGCACCAGCACTCTCTTGTTTCTCGTTGGTGCGTGGAGCAGGGCTGCTGAAGAGTGCCTCCATCTGGGTGTTCCTATTCCCGTAATCGCTGCAGTGATGTCAGAAGGCTTGGACTCTTGCAGGGAAGAGGTAGCTTTCCTTCAAGTCCCAGTCCACAACGTATTTGACTGTGTGCACAACTCAAGGACCATTTCTGGACTTGAAACACCTCATGTTGGTTCCTGTCCTTTCCTACAAGCCCCTTCAGGTGCTGGTGGGATACCCAAAGAGCATGATTTCAAACATGCTGCCTCTCAACTATTGACCGTTTACAGTCTTTCTGGAAGACCTGTTAAACTGCCAGAATTCTTCAACCTTCCAGTAAAGGTTGAAGCAGGTAAAGAGGCATCACAGGGTCTGAAGAGCAGTGTGCACACAGACACCTGCTCTAGAAAGTCAGTACTGACCCACAGTAGGCATTTTAACAGGACCAATAATAGTCTTTGGATAAGCAAACAAGATGGGTTTCTAGAACAGTACAGCGCAGCTACTCCCAAAACCTACAGATGTTGTGATTTGGTAGAGTTGGCAGTGGGTTTGAGCCATGGAGATCTTGGCACCATGAAGTTGGTAGAAGCAGCAGTACAACTGCAGTATCACAAGGCATGTGTGCAACAAGGCAACTGTACAGTGCCATTTATGTTTGATGTTTCTAGAGTCTTCACTTGCTGTCTCCCAGGCTTGCCCGAAACTTTGTCTTGTGTTTGTTCAGGGTATGTCACTGTTGTACCAATAGCTAGTATAACCCTGATCGAGGGATTAGAGAATCAGCCTCTCCGGGTAGTTCTCATTGAGGGTGACCTTGTAGAGAGTTACCACCACCTGGGATTTAATGAGTCCACCAATATTAAAACAGTACTAGATAGCGTGGAACTTCAAGGAGACAGCTCAGAAGAACTGTGGACAAATTATGTATTACAGGTGTTGACCCAGTTCAACGTGAACCTCATCCTGGTGCAGGGAAATGTATCTGAACCCTTGACTGAAAAGTGTGGGCACAATAAGCGGCTGGTGGTGGGATCTGTGGGCAGCAGCGTGATGCAGGCTTTCGCTGAGGCTGTGGGAGCAGTGCCAGTGACCTACGTTTCCCAAGTGAATGCAGACTGTGTGGGCAGTGGCGTCTCCGTGACCTTCTGGAGAACTCCCTTGGAGGTTGTAGGCAGGAGCAGCGGAATGCCAATCTTGTTAAAAACAGAAGGAATTAATCTGATCACAGCGGTGCTCACTCACTCAGTCCCTGCACAGATGCAAGCCAAAGAAGACAGGTTCTGGACCTGTGCATATCGTTTGCATTATGCTCTAGAAGACGAAAAGGTCTTCCTTGGAGGTGGAGCAGTTGAATTTTTGTGTCTGAGTCATCTTCAAATTCTTGCTGAGCAGTCTCTGAGCAAAGGTGACCACCCCAGTCTGGGGTGGCTTCCTAACACTTCCTGCTGGCTGGCCTCCTCCCTGCCAGCATACAGGCCAACTGTGCTTAAATGCCTGGCAGGTGGGTGGCACAGATACCTCTCGGCACTCATGTGTAACTCAGCCACTTGCCCATCAGAGCTTGCAGCCCGCACGTTCATCGAGCATCATGTACAAAATGCTACAGCCTCTGGCTCGCCGTCGGCTTACATTTTAAATGAATATAGTAAACTAAATAGTGGAATTTTTAATGCAGGTTTTTCAGATAAACTGGAGCAAGTTCCAAGAGTTTATGACATTGTCACACCAAAGATGGAGGCATGGCGCCGAGCCCTGGATTTGGTATTGTTGGTACTTAAGACAGACAGTGAAGTTATCACTGGACTTGGACATGCACAGATGAACTCACAGGAAGTAGGGGGGCTTTTATTCTTATAGCATTATTGGATAAGTCTTTGGAAAATAATCTTTTGTAATATACCATGCAAATAATAAATTTGTTAATAATCAAGTTATAGTGCCTGAAATGCTAGGTATTACCAAGAAGAAAATAATTGAGGACCATCATACTATGCAGGGGCTGAGATTTTACCCTACTGGGTAGCCAGCAGATAACCCTGCTCCTGTTTCATGGAGTGCCAGAGGACACAAGACACTGGGATCAGCGGCAGAGGACTCGGCTAGTCAAAGCAGAAGTGATGTCTAGAGCTTTGCATTGGCTTTCATGAGTGCTGAGCTTGGCACAGTCGCAGCAGAACCTGTCCTGCACCCTTGTCCAGCAGGAGCTGTTGCCACATACTTCAGGGTGCTCAGTGTAAGCACAGCCATGGCTGTGGGCTGGCTGAAGGTCACTCGCATCCTTGTGTCCTTCGCATCCCCAACAAATGTGCAGGGGGGTGTCACCCATGGTGTGTCCCCGTTGCCAGCAGTCCCAGCCACCTTGCTGGTGGGAGCCAAGCGGAGTAACACAGGGGCAGAAGAGCACTGAGAACTAGTGTGAGCATGAGCCGGGTGTGGTGGCCCATGGCCATAATCCCAGCAACTCGGGAGGCTGAGGCGGGAGAATGGCAAATTTGAGGTCAGCCTCAGCAACTTAGCAACGCCCTGTCTCAAAATTAAAAGAACTGGGGTGTAGGTCCCTGGTAAAGCATCCCTAAGTTCAATCCCTACTATCATCCCCACCCCCCAAAACAATGTAACCTTGAAGACACGGTGCACTGGCCTCTAGGAAGCAGCTGGAGGTGGACAGTCTGATGTGGCTGGTAAGCAGTTCCTCCTCAAGAATAGGAGCGAGCCCCAGGGTCATAAAACAGAATCGGCACAGGCCCATACCCCTCTCCTCAGAGGAGTCCCCTCCTCTAATTAGATTCACAAAGATTCCCTGCAGGTGCCTTGAACATGGGGAACAATGAGAAGCCAAAGCCATTCGACATCAAATGACCACAGTATAAGAAAAATGCTAAACCGACTGCTGCGGCGTCTCCTGTGCTGCTGCGACAGTGCCACAGGCTGCCTGGTAACCCACACGGTTCTGGGGGCCAGGGCAAGGTGCCAGCGCTGTGTCCTCGGGACGTGAAGGCTGGAAAGGCGGGAGGGAGAGAGCCACTCCCTAGCCCTCTCTGTAGGGCCACTGGGTCATCCTGTGCACTCCCAGAGGCTCCGCCTCCCAGCTGGTCACACTGAGGACTCAGGTTCCAATACCAGGTGTTTGGGGGAGGATAAAAACATTCAGGAAGTAGCACAAACCAAAGATACTCCCACAGGTAGCGGAAACTCACCAGAATGACAAAAAGCTAGAGCAGGTGAAGATTGTGTTTAAATGGGTTAAGTCATGTAGAACAGAGTTTCTGAAAAACAGTACAGTCTCAAAATGATATCAAATATCAGATGACAAGCAGGTCATGAAATGGGAACCCAGAAAAGAACTGGGGGGAGCAGTGGCAACAGCTTGGCACTAGGCGTCAGGTGACGGGAGCAGTGCAGTGAGGCAGTAAGTCCCCCAGCCTCAGTGAAGGAACTCCCCGTTCTCAGACGGCCAAAGGCCCAAGACAGACCTGTCTTGTGCCATTTTTCTTTCTAAACGATTGCTTAAATGGCCGAACTGCAAAGAGTGAGACAGGGCCAGTCACCCTAGGTCCCCCTGGAAGGCCAAGCCATCAAGCAGAGGGCAGGTTGTGGCTCACTTGTTCATACGAGTTCTCCTCTAGAAGGCGCAGTTTAGTGAGAAGGAAGGCTGTGGTGGGCTCCAGGAGTCCCGGTCCCAGGGGGAAGTGCCATGGTTTCCATGATCATGGCTTTGCAGGCCTCACATAAAAATGCATAAATAAAAAATAAAGGTATTGTGTCCATCTACTACTTCTACAACAACAACAACTCTGTGTGTGTGTGTGTGTGTGTGTGTGTGTGTGTGTGTCTGCTCTACTCCATTTAAAAAAATTTCTTGGTCCCTTTGTTTTCTTCCCACATACCAATGTAATAGTCAATATTTGGGGTACAGTTTCCCAAGGGGCTTCTGTGTGTCTAGATATGGAGATGGAGTTTACAGTCCAAAAATGGGATTGCCACTCATGCTGTGTATAATCTACTTCTGTCCATTAGTCTCTCAAGTACTTTCCCCAGTATCCTCTGGCCAGAGTCCTGTAAAATCATCCAGCATCACTTGTTCCAGCACAGTAAACTGCTGTGATTTACTTAGCCTGTGACCTGTCAGACATTGAGGTCAGACCCAGTGTGGAAGTTATTATGAACAAGGCCATCATAAGTGTATTTATAGCTGAATTTTTCCTGTTAGTCATCATTATTTCCTTTAGAAAAATTCTTAGAAATGGACCAACAGGTATCATGGATATCTTTAAAGTACTCTGAAATATTCTTGTCAAATTGTTCTCCAAAGGCCCTACAATGTGTGTGCGTACACGTGTATATCGCTTCACCAACCCTTGTCAACCTGGATGTTATCATTTTGATTCTCTTTGACCAGTATGGGTGAGAATGCTATTTCCTTTTATTTAAACATTCTTTGACTATTAATGAGGGAGAAAACTGATTTTTTTTCTTTTTAGAAATTATTTGTTCTAATTATATTTTCTAATTACATTTTTATGTTGTTCTAATTACATTTTTAAGCCATCTGGAATTTATTTTAGTAGACTACTTAAAGAGTCTAAACTTTTCCAGTGGTTATTCAGTTGTCCCAACGTCATCATTCAGATAACTCTCGCTGTGATGGGCAAGTGTGAGCAGAAAGAGGTCCGTGTTCCTTCTCATTGCTAGGAGCATTCCATGCCTTTCTGATCATGAGGTCCTACTGCTCAGCATTCTATCATAATTTTTTCTGACACCATAGTGCTGTACACTAATGAAGAAAATGCTGGAAATTAAGGCAATACCCCGCTGGTAGAAGTCTCCCTGTGTCCAGTTTCTCTTCTAAAACCCTTCATTCTACCAAAGCTCGCTCTGAAAACCCAAAGACGCCGCTTTCCTTTGACCTGCAGGTGGCAGACGTCCTCCGTGGCTCTCAGGGCTTAGCCGCAGGTTTACAGTCCTGGAGGAAAGAGGTTGGCAGAGGTCTGCCAGCAGGGATTTAGGGCAAAGGCCCTTGGGCAGATCCTTTTGTTGCTGTGTGTGTGAGTCCACAGAAGCTGGCTCTGCAGGAGGGGGTTCTCTGGGCCGGCATCTCCCCTTACATACAAGGTTGAGGGAAGTCTCTCCTGCTCACCTGCCCGCTCTGAATTCTCATTGCCAGTTTCAGTCCTGGGAGGTTCTGAGTGGTAGGGAAAGGCATGTGAAGGGGAGCAGCTGGTCGGATGGGCGCTTCCTGAGGCAGTGTGAGGCCAGACCTGCCAGCACAGGGAACGGCAAGCTGAAAATGCCAAGATAGGGAACTTTGTCACATTTCACCACAATTTTTAAGTTTTTAAGTAAAAATTAATTACCAAAAAGTGATACTATTTTTATAATATTACAGTTTCGAAAGTTGGCCAATTATAGATTCAGACCATTATGATGGTGTTACTATCACCTAGAAGCAACGCATTGGTGAGTGAAATAACTTCCTGAATGATAGGGCACAGATGACCCTATCTGTCTTGACAGTGCGGCCGGATTACTAAATCCCTCCCTGGGCACGGCGGGGCTCAGTGGCAGAGGCTTGCCTAGCTAGTGTGAAGCCCTGGGTTCTGGGTTCCATCCTCAGCACCACACGATCAGTCAGTCAGTCAATCAGTAAAAATTATTGTGTCTATCTACAACTAAAAAACAAGGATTTCTAAACAGTGACAAAGATTGGAATGTGAAGGAATTGCTGTTTAATTGTAAAGTTCTAATGTTCAGAAATGACAGTTGCACTGCTCATCATGGTGGTTGCATCTGGTGTTGTATCTCTGCGAAGGCTAAGACCGGTTGTTCAAGTTGGTGTGACTTGATTTTAATAGTTTGAACCATCTTCACAACATTTATTTTCCTTCCAGAATTGCTTTGTCAGAATTTTTTCCCCATGTAATAATAGAATCTAGGAACAAAACAGATATCTTTAAAAGTTTATTAGTGTGTGGCTTCCTGAAAAATGTCTGACACTACTCAAAACTGTCAAGGTCATAAAAACAAAACAGTGCTGGACATGGTGGCTACACCTGTCATCCCAGCGACCTGGGAGGCTGAAGCAGGAGGATCACAAGTTCAAAGCCAGCCTCAGCAGCTTAGTGAAACCCTGTCTCAAAATAAAGAATATTTTAAAAGTGCTGTGGATGTGGCTCAGTGGTAAAGCATCCCTGGGTTCAATGCCCAGTACCAAGAAAAAAAAAGTTGTTCATGCCAAGCAGAGCACACAGGAGACAGGACAACTGAATATAACATGTCCTGGATGGGTCACAGAGCAGAGAAAGAAAAGATGTTAAGAAACACTAGAGAGATCAGAGTAATTTGGACTCAATGTGGACTTGAGCTAATACTTACATATCAATACTGGCTCATTAATTGTGACAAATGTGCCATACTAATGTAAGATGTTAATAGTAAGGGAAGATAGATGTGGGGTGCCGTGGTGTGATTGTGTCCCCCAGAATCAATTGCTGGAACTCATCTTGGGGGCAGCAGTGTTGGAATGGGGCGTGTGGGGGTATTCAGGTCCCCATAGCTCCTGCCTCCTGAAGGCCCTAAGCAGGATCCTCCCTTCCACTCTTCTGCCGTGTGAGGCCTCGTCCTCCAAGGCCGCTCCTGATCCTGGACTTCCCAGCCTCCAGAGCTGTGAGAAGTAAATTCTCTTCTTTGAATCACTAGTGTGTCGTATTCTGTTACAGCTGCAGGAAACGGACCAAGACGTGGGGCACGTGGGATTTGGGGGGATATTTTCACACTTTTTCTGCAAATGTAAAATCATCATTTTGAAAGGGTAAAGTTTCTAAGCTGCAAAGCCTGAGTTAAAATGTAAAGGACCAGGTATTGTTAAGTTCCTATGCTACACCCAAAACCTGAAATTCCTGAGGCAGTTATGACAATGCCTGGTACTGACCA